ATTTGTAAGTTCAACTTTCATGATAAAGAGATTGCACTACAGTACTTGTATGAGGTGAATTGAAAAATACTCTCTCTTGTTTTTTACAGTGCAAATATTTGTAATCAAAAACAAATATAAAGTGAGCACTGTACACTTTGTATTATGTGTTATAATTGAAATGAATATACTCGAAAATGTAGAAAACATCCATAAATATTAAATAAATGGTATTCTATTACTGTTTAACAATGCAATTAATCGTGCAATTACTTTTTTTCATTGCGCGATTAATCGCTTGACAGCCCTATTAGTAACATTTGCAAATGTTACTATCTCATTACTTGCTGCCATTTCCAGATAATTAATAAATGCATTAATCACAGAACCTAGAATGGAACCTTGAGATACCCTGCTGGGAACCTTTTGCCATGATGAAAATTAACCATTTAATTTTACTCTTTTAGCTTTCTGTCTCCCAGCTAGTTTTCAATCCATGGCAATATGTTGCCTGTCACCCTGCGACTACTTCACTTCTTTAGTAGCCTCTTGTTTGGGACCTTGTCAACTGCTTTTTGGAAATCTGAAGAAATGGTTATATACAAAAACTACATCAGAAATATTAAGGTTACAATCCAAGCATTCAGATTAAGAAACGCTGCAATTAAGGTTGACTATGCCAACTTTTAATGTAATATTTTTGTATATAGTTTCCTAGATTTTTAACAAAGAAAACTGAAAAACAAATTATATCACATTGCATCATACTGATTCCAGCATGGGTCAGTAGCAGGGTTGGAACCTTCAGATTCACAGCACAGACCTCTAACACTTGAGCTAATGGAGTAAATCGATATTAGTAGGATGTCCTCCTGTGTAGTTGTGGCAGGGTGGACTAGGTCCAGAGACCCCCTGCTGGAGGACTCACGGCCCTGCATCACCCTGTCCCAGAATAGAGCAGCAAGAAGTCCTCCAGGCAGCCTAGAATTGTGTTTGTAGGAACCATCGGGAAAAAAAAAAAAAAAAAAAAAAAAAGGGGGGGGGGCCCCCCACACACAAGAGGCAGGTGCTGACTCCATTACATTATGGTACCAGAAGTGGGATCTTCAGACCGACCTTGTCTAAAGAGGGTCAGATCAGAATTAACTGTTTTACTGGGGCAAGCTTTTAACTGTTTTACTGCAAGTTTTTAACTGTTTTATTGTGTGAGGCCAGAGGCAGAGGTCAAAGGAGGACCAGAGGCAGCCATGGAAAACAGGCAAGATTTTAATTATTTATGGGGTAGAGCCAGAAGCAGAGGCCGAAGGGAGGCAGAGGTAGCCCAAGCCGAGTACAACCTGACTAACGGGGCATGAGAAAAGACTGAGTGGAAGAACCACTACCCCAAGTCTGCCTCGTGGCCTGCATCACCCTGCCCCAGAATAGACCAGTGAGAAGTCCTCCAGGCAGTCTAGAGTGGCTGCAGAAGAGCGGCCAATCACAGGGGCTGCTGGAGCGACCAATAAAGGGCCAGAAGAGACAGATAAAAGGCAAGCAGCAGAGCAAAGCCTTCAGTTGCTGTGTGGAGCTTGATGAGGGAGGACTGGGTGCCTGGCTGGTTAGACAAGGGCAGCTCACTGCAGAGAGCTCACCAGGCAGAACTGAGTCCAGGATTGGCTGCCAAAGACCAGGTGCCTTGCTGGATGGATAGAGTAGCAGCAGGATCATGAAAAGGTCAGTGTGGGCAGGCTGAGCCCAGGACCTAGCCAGATCAAGCAAGGGTACTGAGATGGGCCCTGCTGGTCTGGTTGCAGACTGAGCCCAGAGAAGACTGCTGAAAAGGACACCAGCTGAGGATACCGACATGGGCCCCAGCTGGGTGGTTGAAGGAGGCAGTGCCTCTGAGAAGAAGCCTTAGAGCTATGATCCTATACCATGGCCGAGAAAGAACTTGGATTGTATACACCGGAAGGGGGGACAGTGTGTGTGGCTCAGCCGGAGAGCTGAGCTGCCGAAGACCAGCCGAGAGAACTAGCAGCTGGGGTCGGTGCTCGTGAGAGGCAGGTGCCAGCTCATACCTAACCGAGAGAAAGGGCCATCCACAAGAGGTGGGTCCCCCCACCCCATGAAAAGAACGGTGTTTACAGATACTATCAGCCAGACAAAAAGGGGCCATGCACGAGAGGCGAGTGCTGACCCCGCTACAGTAGTCCAGTACTGGAGGAAAAACTGGGACACACACTTTGCCAGGGGCTTTCACAGATTTGTTGACAGAGGAATGGTAATGCTAAGGAATCTTGGGTTCCATTCCAGGTTCTGGAGGGGAATGGGGGTAGATGACACTGTTCCACCCACCAAACCTGAACCCTCCTGAATCAGTCCCAGTCTTGTCTCTCTCCTTCAGCATACAGTTAAATTTTGGAAAAGCTATAAGCCACTGAAAACAGGTTCTATAAATGGGAAGAATTATGTAACCTTAAGTAAGGCAGATCTGGTTGCACTGCTTATAATGCCAACTAGTTCTCCTTAGTTACTACTTCTGACATGTTCTTTGATTAGTTGTTTGCAGAGACCCAGCTGCCTAGACTATTATATCATGATCAGCCATGTGCTTTGTTAATCTTTTGCTAAATTATTGTTTCAACCAATCTGAGAGGTACATATGTAAGGCTTACTGGACTGTAAATTCACTGGATCAACCTCTAGAGGTTTTTTTTTTTTTAAAAAAAAAAAGCTTGTTACCCTCCAATCCTCTGAACAGTGGCTGTTTTTAATTATTGCATGTTTTTGTTAACAGCTCAGCTACTTCTGCTTAGACTTCTTCAGAACTCTTGATTTACCATTTGGGTCTGGTAACTTACTGCTTTTTAAATTAACAATTTGCTTCAGCACCTATTCTGACACCTCTGAATATATCACCTTTATTACAAGAAAAGAGCAGGTCCTGGCTAAGAAGCTCTTCAGCATTCTTGGTGGTGAAGATTGATGTAAAGAAATGTCCTTATCATCCTTAATTGCCCCCTTCAACTATTGATGATTTAGTGGACACATTGATTCTTCTGCAGGCTTCCTGCTTTTGATACACTTAAAAAAACAAAAACCAAAACCCTCTTTTACCTTTAGCTGTTTGCTCTTTTAAATCTATTTTGGTCCTTCTAGTTCCATCTCTTATTGGCTGCTGTAATTTATGCACCTGTTTATTGGTTTTACTATGGTCAGATTTCCAAGTTTTGAAGTATTTCTGTTTGCTCAAGTAGCCTCTTGAGCACTGTCATTTAGCCATATTTGTTTAAACACTCTTCACTTTCTCGCAGTAAACATTTTCTGAGACTGTTACTGTTTTTAAGTACCATCCCTGCATTCACCAAGGATTTAAATTCCTTTATTTTTAACTTCAGGGCCTTTTTGACTAACCTTCTCATTTGACTAAAACCTCATTTTCTCAAGTTTAATGTCACGGTCACTTTATAGCACACTACCTGCCCCTTGGCTTTTGAATCTAGATACAGTGTGTTGCTTAAAACTAAGTTAAGGCTAGCCTCTCTTGTTGGATGCTCTAGGACAAATTGTTCCAAGAAGCAATCACTAAAGGTGTTGAGAAATTGTTTCTCTTAAAAACTTTGCCTTGTTGTGTCATTTGTGAAATAGATGAAGACAAACATGGCAAGAACAGCTTCTCATTAAAGTCATTTTTGGATGATGGACAGGCTAGAAGATTTTTTAAAATCTGGGTGCTGTTCCCAAAGTTTTAGAGGAAATAATAATAGTAGAAAGGGAATACCAGTTATCTCACTAAGTACCTGCCACTTATAAAGCATGTGGAGCAGCAAAGATTGACAGAGTGGTGTAATGACACCCATAGCTAGGGTTGCCAACTTTCTAAGTACAGAAAACTAAACACCCTTGCCCCACCCCATCCTGCTTCTTCTCCTGAGGCCCTGCTCACTCCTCATCCTCCTCCCTCAGTCGCTCGCTCTCCACCCCCCCCCACTTTGCTCACTCCCCCCTCTCACGGGACTCACCTGCTGCCTGCAGAGTCAGGCTGGGAAGAGCTGACATGGAACCTGCCCACCTGCAAAATCAGGGCACAGCAGAGGTCGATCCCCGGAGCAAGAAACCGGGGCGGGGTCAGTCCCCATAGCGAGGGGTTAGGGTTGGGGCAATCAGGGAATGTTGGGGCAGAAAGGGGGATGGACAGGATCCCTCCCTCCCCCCGGGTGGCGGGACCTACCTCTTGGAACCTGGTCCGGAAACAAGCCAACACTCTGTCAGGCATCAGCAGCTCAGCAGAGAGCAAGCTCCTCTATATAGGGTGATCAGATAGGGACAGTCCTGATATTTGGGGCTTTTTCTTCTATAGGCGCCTATTACCCCCCACCCCCTGTCCCGATTCTTCACACTTGCTGTCTGGTCACCCTAAGCTCCAGCCACAGCAGCTCCTCTTCCTCCCTCCCCCCCCTAGTGGCAGAGACCAGTTACTACGGTCAAGTGGACTTTTAGCGTCCGGTCAGCACTGGACATTCTTGTCAAAAACCAGACACCTGGCAACCCTACTCATAGCACTAACACTTCATTGTTTTCAGAAAAAAATGCGCTACAGAAAATGTACTAATTCATAATGCATTATCAAAAATTATTAAAATTGCAATTGTGAAAATAAGTTAAACAAACATGATGTATTATAGTTTATTTTGCAGAATATTAATAGTGGGATCTTAATTTGCTGTTTTATGAAAAAAATTTATAATGCAAAAAAGTAACTACTGAAGTTACCACCAATGTTTCTCTGAAAAGTCATCAGAAAAGAGTTATTGGCCTATTTTCTTCCTTCTGCAGTCTGAGGAGTTTCACAGTATAATAAATCAGTTTTCAACACACACAAAATCAAAGTTTACTCCAGAACTTGGATTTTTATATATATATATTTTTAAATGCATATTTTTATGCAAACAGCTTATTTATGTAGTTGCAAATTACCAGTGTATAATTATACCAGACAAACCAGCAAAACATTTATGAAATATATAATATAAACAGCTTACTTTGACCACATAATTGAACCTTCTGATGTCCTGAATTGCACTTGAAAAATCTAAGCGATTAAAAGCTTCTCCCAACGTGCAATAGCCATGTCTCTTGAAAAAGAGGAAAACATACTTTTAGAGCAAACAAATTAAAAACTGGTTCAGTTAATCATCACTAATGTTCTGATTCAAGAACGCACTTAAGCATGTACTTAAAGGTAAACATAAACCTAAGCACTCTTATGGAACAGGGATACTTTCCTGAATCTAGGCCAAGCATTCATTTGATTTCTTAGAGAGATGAGGAAACTACAACTGCTCCATTTTGAACTAAAAGGTATCTAAGTGATGCCACACATTAGTAAGGCCTTATCTTCGTTACAGGTGAATACTCCTGGGACAATTCTGCACCAAAAATAAAAAATTCTGTGCACAATATTTTAAAATTCTGCAAAATTCTGCATATTTTATTTGTCAAAATAACAATTTAATCACACCAGTTTCAAATTATTTTGGTAATTTATTTCAAAAGACCTGTTAGCAAGTATGGCTAACAACAGAGACGACAAAAAAGATTCAGGAAATGTTTTTTGACAAATGGATTCCTTACTAGGCATATTATTACAGAACTTTATGTATCTTTGTTGGCTGTTATCTATTTCAGTGAAATTAAATATTTCATTTAAACAAAGTCATTATACAAACGTACTGTAACGACCTGGCGTAAGGGGGTGCTAGCATCCTTAAGGACTGTTTTGTGTCTGTCTGTCATGTCCTGTCCAAGTTCGAACTTCTGTGTGTAGTGTAAGGTTTTACGGTTTACCCCCACTGTAGCAGAAGGGGGGTTGGTGAGTTAGTGGTAGTTTAGTTGTAGGATAATGGTGGTTAGCATGGGGAAATGGAGAACCCGGGTAGAGTGTATGTTGGGGTGAGTGCGCACGTGTGTGTGTTTGTGTGGGCTGGGTCATGTACATGGTTCACCAGCCAACACCCTTTCGTCTCTGAAGGTGGTATGCGTGCCCTGTGCCAGGCGTGGGCAGGACTGCTGGAGAGGTACAGTGATAAGTGGGAGTGGAGGCGGCAGGTTCAGGCTCATGTGCGTGCAAAGACGTTACGTTTATACATAACTAGTACAACTGAAACACGCAAAACTGGAAAATGGAAACAATTTGGTGGAAATCACAAATTCTGCATGAAAAATAAAATTCCACAAGGAACATTAATTCTGCGCAAATTCTGCATTTGCAGTGGCGCACAATTTCATCAGGAACCATGGGGTAAGTAAACATGTGCTTGTAAGTGCCTGGTAGCCTACCCCGCTACTACACAATTGTTGTAGATATCAGTACACTGCTGTCATATCCTATGTCTGTACTGGCATTGTATGTGGCAGTGACAAGCAATAGTTATCTTGACTTGTATCTTAAGATTAATTGGGTCACTCTGTGCTTACATTTGCAGGGTGCTGTAGGACAACTTGTCTGTTCGCTCTTGGGATTGTGGAAGGAAATAGTCTAGGCCCACAAAATTCACTTACTGGCAGTAACCAAGCTGATGTAGTAGTGTGCCGTTTGGCTCCCTAATCACCAGGGCCAAGAACTACTCCTTTTTATTGATGTGATGTTTTGTTTTTGTGTCTCTGCACTAGCTGTTAGGAGATGTGGGCAGGGACTTCAGAGGCTGTTTTGGGGCTATAGGAGATTGAGGTAGCAGCTTGCAGCCAGAAGTAGCATCAAAGCAATTGAACTGGGCTAAGTGGACATGGACGCATGGACTGAGACTATGCTGTTTTTAAATGGCAGATAACCCCTACTTCCGGGTAGGAGCACAGGCACATGCTGGTGGGAACACATGATGATGGAAACCTGGGATGACTAGTCATGAGTAAGCTGTGAGGCTGTCACGGAGGTCATGGATTCCATGACTTTCTGTAACTTCTGCAGCAGCCAGCAGCAGCAGTTTGGGTGTGTGGGAGGGGGTTCAGGGTTAGGGGCAGAGGGTGGGGGTGGGTTCGGGGCTCCCCAGCTCCCACTGGCATGGCCCTGCAGCTCCTAGGCGGAGAGATCAGGGGGCTCCGCGTGCTGCCCGCACCCACAGGACCTGACCCCGCAGCTCCCATTGGCTGCGAGCTGCACAGCCAGTGCTTGTGGTGGGAGCAGTGCGCTGATCCCCGTGTCCCCTCCACTGCCTAGGAGCTGCACGGACACGTGGAGCCGGGTAGGGAGCCTGCCAGCCCCACTAACCTTCCCCTCCCAGCATCGCATGGCCTGGCCCCCTCCCTCCCAGCATCGCATGGCCTGGCCCCCTCCCTCCCAACACCATGACTTCTCTAGTGCTGGACTACTGTAACAGGGTCAGCACCGTCCATGACTTACTAAAAATACCCATGACGAAAATGTAGCCTTAGCCATGAGGCCAGAACTTTCACAGACCACTGCTTCTGGGTAGGAATACAAGCACATTATGACGGAAACATGGGATGACTAGCCATGACCCCAGAACTTTCACATGAAGAAACACATGTTCATGGAACTGAGTAAGGTGCTTCCCTGGCGCTTAAGAGACAGAGCACCCAGATGTGAGAACGAATAATGGTTTAGAAGTGCGTTTCTATTGCCCCGTGTAAACTGCCAACTTCAGACTGCTGCAGATCTGTTGGCAATCAGATAAGATGCCGACTTCTCCCCTACTTCTTCAGTGTGGATACCCTCTAACACACTGTGCTCTTCCTGGGATGTTTAAGGGAACAGCTCTTGTGAATCGGAGACAAACTTGTGGACCAGGCTAGAGCCATCCTCCTCTGCCTCTCCCTCTCCTTGCTGGCTGGGCTAGGTCACATCTCCATGGACATCCAAATTCTGAACCCACATGCCTCCTAGCTCCACAAATGAGTCCAGGCTGAAATGGGTCTACGTGCTCCTCACAGGGCTGCTCAGAACTCAGTCCATTTCATTGTAAAATGAACATGTTGCTGGGGCACTACAACACTTCTTATTCTTTTTCCTGGTCTTCCAATAGCTCACCTCGAGCCCCTTTATTCTCTCTCTGCACTGCTGTTTGGTCTGCTCAATCCTGTGATCAGCCTGCAGCTCCTCAGATACACTTTTTGTACAGTTTGACATTCCTCTTTGTACAGTTAAAGATGTGGGTTTACTTCAGTCCAAAGGTGCACCAAGATTCTGGTGCGTTTGTAAGGCCAGGAGCCTGCATACCAATACACATGCTTCTTAGGGGCCACTGTTCTGCTGTTTCAAACACTGGGGATAGGATAGCTGGGGAAACTGCAAGCAGGGTGGGACTATGCACTTTCTTGAGTAGAGGGAAGTGAAGGTAGACCATTTCTGGTCAGGGCTCAGGGAGATGGCAAGATAGAACACATGAATATGTACCCAATGAGCTTATGGGAATTAATTGAAGGACCATGGTATCTCAATTGTTGAGCAGCTACAGATACCCTTGTTTTAACTATGTTTACCTTGTGGTAGCAACGTGTTAAAAGCCATCTTGTGGTCTGCCCTATTGTTCAGAGTGTGATGGCTGCCCCACTGTAAGACTGTCTGAATGAATACGGTGTTGGGAGGGCCAGGGGGGGACGATGGCCCAGGGTTGATCATGAGGTTAACATGCAGTGAAGATAAGGCATAAGATGTGTACTTAAACACCACATGTAATCAGGCAGTAAATAAGGACTGCAAGACAGCTAGGGCACTTACTTCTCTGGTGCTTTCTTTGTGAACATAGATCCATTTTTCACGATAAAAACCTAAAAACAAATAAATTAATGTAACAATTTTAACTTTCAGCACATTAGGTAATATTTATTACATAAGTTACACAAATGTATCATTCTTGATAAAACTCTGCAAATGAGAGGTTTTTTTAAGATATTAAGATGAAGGCTACTTACAAAAGTTTGAAACAGCTGATGGATAAACAGTTCCAAAAGTACTTAAGTGACTTAGGCACTTACAAAAAGTTTATACCATGTAGTAAATTACACATACAAAAAAACTAAACAAAAAGAAAATTATTTAGGTTGCAAAGCCAAGCATTCAAAAGTAAGGAAACTCCAGATTTTAGGCTGCACCAGCAACCTATATTCTGCCCTCTTGTGAGTATATATTAGGATACAGTTTTAATTACATGATCTCATATTTTACATAGGGCCCCACCCTCATTCTGTGCACATACTCTGCTGTCTCCCCAGGAATAGTCTTTGCCCCAGGGTTCCCCGGTGTTGTCCCCTCAACCCCAAACAATTTGTGCCCCCTCTCCAGTGTTCTGTATGCCCCTTTCTGTCCCTCCATGCTGTGTCTTCAAGGATTGTGGATCACTGTATCCCCCAGTTTTTTTTTAAATCATTAAGTACCCTAGATGCTGTGATTAAAAGTAAAGGGGGGAAAAAAATCAATAAAAATTCATTTTTCCAAGAGCTGTTTCACTACTGACAAGTTGAATTAAAATTACATATAAGATTAGCACATGCTTATAAAGGCAGTAACTAAAAAGTAAGCTTACATATTCAGAAGAACCTCAGTTTAAAGTAAAATTCCCCCAGAAAAAGAAAATAAAAGCAGCATCAGTTGACTGATTATTAAAGTGATTTCACAATTCACAAATATAATTTCATAGGATCATCAAGATCTTATGCTCACTGATTAATGATAGAGTAGTTTAGAAAAGCTGTATCATTTATGTATGCATTATTAATACTGAATTTTTGTAAAAGCAGTACTAATAAGGATTAGTGAATTATGCCCTTATGAGTAAGCTTAAGAGAAATATTTAAATACTTCAAAGTTATGAAACATCGTCCAAACTAGAACTAAAAGCAATCTAGTCTTACATTGTGATTTTGTGTTATTCCGAAAATGGTCTTTTTTCCTTTTCTTGGCTGCAAATTCACAATCTTCAGTTCTGTATATTTCTTCATCATCATCAGTTAAGATGCTGAAATAAACACACATTTAACTAAAGAACCGTCTAATGATAAATATTTAACTATAGGGGGCTTGCACCTCACTCTGCCAATTGGAAATTCACAATTTAAAGAGAATATTATGTCAGGGACCTTAGCAGAGAAATTGTCATGTTCAGCACCTCCTCTCTCATTTTCATAATTGTGTAGTGTCCTTGTTTCAAATATATATTAGCTTCCATAGGAAATTCATATTACGGACATATTTAAAACCTTAAAAAGTGTAATTTAGGAGGAGGAACTAATGAGGAGCCAGCACTATATGATCAAACACCTTTCTTCAAACTGCTATTGTGTGTGTATAGATCACCACTGGCTGATGGACTACAGTCTGGAAACCACTGCAGTATATCAAGGTTCTCAGATTCCAAGGCCAGAAAGGACCACTGTGATCATCTAGTTTGCTCTCCTGTGTAACACAGCCCATAGAAATTCCCAAAGTAATTCATAGAGCATCCAATCTTGATTTCAAAATTGTTTGTGATGGAGAACACCTCATGACTCTTGGGAAATTGCTTCAATGATTACTCACTCTCACTGTTAAAAATGTATAGCTTATATCCAGTCTGAATTTGTCTAGTTTCAACTTCCGGCCATTAGAATGAGGTCATACCTTTCTCTGTTAGACTGAAGAGCCCATTATTAAATATTTGTTCCCCAGGTAGGTACTTATAAACTGTAATCAAGTCACCCCTTCTCGTTCTCTTTGTTAAGCTACATAGATTGAGCTTCTTCGGTCTATTGCTATAAAGTATGTTTTCTAATCCTTTAATCTTTCTTGTGGCTTTTCTTTGAAATCTCTCCAATTTATCAACATCTTTCTTGAATTGTGGATACCGGAACTGGAAACAGTATTCCAGCAGTGGTTGTACCAATGCTAAATAGAGAGGTAAAATAACTTCTCTACTCCTATTTGAGATACCCATTTATGGATCCAATGATTGCACTAGCCATAGCATTGCACTGGGAGTTCATGTTCAGCCGATTATCCACCATTACCTCCAAATCTTTTTCAGAGTCGCTCCCTTCCCAGGATAGAGTCACCTGTCCTGAATGCATGGCCTACATTCTTTGTTCCTAGATGTAGGCATTTACTTATAGCCATATTAAAACACATTGTTTTATTGCACCCAGCTTACCAAGTGATCCAGATTGCTCTGTGTAGGGTACCTGTCATCTTCATTATTTGCCACTCCCACAATTTGAGTCATCTGCAAACTTTATCAATGATGATTTAATGTTTTCTTCCAGGTCATTAATAAAAATGTTAAGCAGCATATAGTAAAGAACCAATCTCAACACCCTTAACACCACACCATTTAAAGATGATTCTCCATTTAAAACTACATTGTGACATCTATGAGTTAGTCAGTCTTTAATCCATTTAATGTGTGCCAAGTTAATTTTATATCGTTCTAGCTTTTTTAATCACAATATCATGCGGTACCAAATCAAATGACTTACAGAACTTGAAGTATATTACAATTAACACACTATTTCCTTTATCAACCAAGCTTGTAAGATCATCAAAAAAAAAAGGTAACAAGTTAGTTTGACAGAATCTGTTTTTTCATAAATCCATGCTGATTGGCATGAATTATATTATTCTCCTTTATTTCTTAACTGAGTCTTATATCAGCCACCTCATTATCTTGACTGGGATCAATGTCATACTGACAGGCTTATAATTACCTGGGTCATCCTATTTACCCTTTTTAAACATTAGCACAACATTAGCTTCCTTCCTGTCTTCTGGAACTTCCCTGGTGTTCCAAGACTTAGTGAAAGCAACTTTAAGGTCCAGTAAGCTCCTCAGCCCGCTCTTTTAAAACTCTTGGGACACAAATTACCAGACTTGCTGATTTAAAAATGTCTAACTTTGGTAGCTGCTGTTTAACATCCTGCTGAGATACTAGTGGAATGGAAAGAGAGTGATATCATATATGATTACATAATCTGTTTCCCCCCCCCCAATACAGAAGAGATATTTATTGACTCTTTCAGCCTTTTCTGCATTATTATTGATAATTCTATGATTTCCATATAGTAATAGACCAAGATAGAAAGCTGGCTAGATTGTCGCACTCAATGGGTAGTGATCAACGGCTCAGTGTCTAGTTGGCAGCCGGTATCAAGCGGAGTGTCCCAGGGGTCGGGCTTGGGGCCGGTTTTGTTAAACATCTTTATTAATGATCTGGATGATGGGATGAATTGCACCCTCAGCAAGTTCGCAGGTGACACTAAACTGGGGGTAGGGGAGGGGAGGATAGGGATAGGCTCCAGAGTGACCTAGACAAATTGGAGGATTAGGCCAAAAAAAAATCTGATGAGGTTCAACAAGGACAAGTGCAGAGTCCTGCACTTAAGAAGGGAGAATCCCATGCACCGCTACAGGCTGGGGACCGACTGGCTAAGCAGCAGTTCTGCATAAAAGGACCTGGGGATTACAGTGGATGAGAAGCTGGATATGAGACAGCAGTGTGCTCTTGTTGCCAGGAAGGCCAACAGCATATTGGGCTGCATTAGTAGCAGCATTGCCAGCAGATCGAGGAAAGTGATTATTCCCCTCTATTCGGCACTGGTGAGGCCACACCTGGAGTATTGCGTCCAGTTTTGGGCCCCCCACTACAGAAGGGATGTGGACAAACTGGAGAGAGTCCAGCAGAAGGCAACAAAAATGATTAGGGGGCTGAGGCACATGATTTATGAGGAAAGGCTGAGGGAACTGGGCTTGTTTACTCTGCAGAAGAGAAGAGTGAAGGGAGATTTGATAGCAGCCTTCAATTACCTGAAGGGGGATTCCAAAAAGAGGATGGAGGTAGGCTGTTCTCAGTGGTGGCAGATGACTGAACAAGGAGCAATGGTCTCAAGTTGCTGTGGGGGAGGTCTAGGTTGGATATTAGGAAACACTATTTCACTAGGAGGGTGATGAAGCACTGGAATGGGTTACCTAGGGAGGTGGTGGAATCTCCATCCTTAGGGGTTTTTAAAGGCCTGGCTTGACAAAGCCCTGGCTGGGATGATTTAGTTGGTGTTGGTCCTGCTTTGAGCAGGGGAGTGGGCTAGATGACCTCCTGAGGTCTCTTCCAACCGTAATATTCTATGAATACCATTGTTAAGATTCTTTTTATTTCTAATATACTTAAACTCCTTCTTATTGTTTTTAACTCTACCGGCCACAGATATCGCTGTGTCCATTTGCTTCCTTTATCAATTTTTTACAATTCCTAGTTTCTCATTACTATCAACTTCCCTTTTCTTCCATTCATATATATTATTTTGAGGAAGGCCAGTAACAAGCTTTTGCACTCTAAGGGAACATGATCTCTTGCAGCAAAAACCGATGAGAATATGTTTTTTCCATTTACTAAGTGCCACAGAAATACAGTATACGACTGAAACACCATTGCTACAGTTAAGCAAAGCTTTCAATGAGGTGTTCATTGTAGCAGAGATTATCTGAGTAGGATCACAACATTAGTTGTTTTAGGCTATCACTACAATATTGAGGAAAGTGCTATTGTACTGGAGATTTTCAGGGGTGGGGTTGGATGGGGTTGGAGCAATCTAATTGCAAAGTGTCATCATTATCCTCAACAATGTATGTCTGCATGATATGCCCCTATGAAGTAAACAAAAAAGGAGAATCATTTTTTCTAAACACCATGCTTGTGTTGAGGTGGGAAATTAATTTTAGTGAAGTATTTTGACTTTCACATAGTAACTTTGTGTGTGTGTGTGTGTGTGTGTGTGTGTGTGTATACATATATTATATATAAATAAACAAACAGTAATATGGAAACACATACCATAATGGACCTTAAAGTCTATTCTTGAATAGTAATTCACTACACAGTTAAGCTTCCCTGTCAAAAAAATTGCTGAAGTGTTTAGTAACAACTAAAGCAAGTTTTATATCCCCCAAAATCCTGGATTACTTTTATCTTCTCTACAATTAATGAAAGAACTGTCAATAGGGTGGTTGGGAGAAAAAACACTGTAGACTCTAGAGCTGAATTTTTCCAAATTTTGATTTTTCAATTAAATTTTTACAAAAAAAAGTTGTACTGTACATTACTCTTAGGTCTGGGCACTTCTAAGCTCCTGATCAGTAGGTGCAAATAACCTCATCCAAAGCCAACTGATGCTCAAGATACTCTAACACTTAAACACAGTAGACCAGCGATAGTCAATAGGCGGACCGCAGGCCAAATCTGGACCACCAGATGCTTTTGAATGGACCTCAAAATGTGTGTTTTTTTTTATTTACTTATTATCATCATTATTGTTGTCAATTTTTTTTATTATTTTCTCTGGAGTTTGGCCCTTGACTATACCTTGACCAAGAAATTTGGACCTTGACAAAAAAAAATTGACTACCCCTGCACAGGAGAGCCTTACACAGAATGATCACACTAGTAGATACTTCTGCATATTATGCTATGGTGACATAAGACAGACTTTCACCAAATACAATATCGGAGACCATAAACTAGGAGTGGAAAGTGGAAGATACAAGGCATAACTCAAGACAATAATGACTGCAAACAAAGTGAGATAAGAAAAATTGAGGCACACACACACATCTGCTACTCTAATACCCAGTGCAAGAAAGATGTTTCAAACTGTCAGGAAATTTAAAAGGCTCTTAAATTAAAAGCAATGAGGAATAAGTGAAGAAACAGAGAGAGACAGCATTACACTATGTAGCAAACTGAATCAGGTATTGGCAATAATGACACAAAGTCACACGGAAATCCAAATACACTGAAGCCTCATCTTGGCAGATGCTTGAGATACTGTATCTACCTCTAACAGAGCTCTCAGAGGGTTGGCTCTTACATATTTGTCACATTCATCATAGGTATCATGACAAAAAGTATTATTGAATTGGAATTTACTGAAGGAGTTAAGCTAGAGGTTGCAGCCTCTCCTGGACAAAGCTACCTCCTGAC